AATATACATTGACTGCAAATACACACTTGATAAATCGCACTAGAATAAGTAAATCCAACGTAATAATTAGTCGTTGTACCGGTAACGATTGCAATTACGCGCAAGGTTAGTTCCCTAAGGATATGAGAACAACCGAGAAACTCTCTGTTATGAATAATAACTGTAATTGTTTTGCAGTAATTGAATATGTGCTTGTTTATATATTAGGCAAAATATAGTGAAAATATTTATTTGTACATTTGATCTGCATATATACAATAAATGTTTATCTTTCAGAAAAAAAGGAAGATGATACATTCTTAAATATTATTCTTAATATACATGTAAATACAAGGTGTAGAAACACGTGGGCAAATATTTATTTAAATTGTATTTATTTACTTAACAATGATATTTAACATATATGAACAAGTAAATAATAATTATATCCATAAATATATTTGCAAATAACACTCATCGCATTAAAAATTTTATATTTTACATTTTACTAAATAAAACTAAATAATGATTAAAAGTAGCAAAATTTGTGATTATAGATAAAGATTACGAATTGTAATCCTCTTTTCATCTGTTCGTTAATAATATAATTGCAAACATTTTGCGAATATTTTTCATCAACGATAAAATGCGTACTGATGTAAGCACTCGAGGAGATTGTTATTTTTAAATGGCTCGCCTTCTCTTGGCTTGTACCCTTCTTAATTTCCCAGGAGCATGTGCCAACCTACTCTTCATTTATTCGCCATCATCTATTCTAATGTTTCCATACGCACCGTCACTGAGATAACCTGTGGGAGATGCTTACCAGGTGTTGACAAATTCGATAATCAATAAAAACGCGCATGAATATACAATTGGAGCAGATGCTTTCGCTTGTATTTATCGAAGCAATCGCTTCGAAAAACACCGAGTATTCTGCAATCAATCTTGTTATACATATATAAGTCACGTGAAAAAATTACTCTTGTACAAAAAGCAAATAAAAATAACATACACACACACACACACGCACACACACACACACACGCACACACACACACACACACACACACGCGCGCGCGCGCGCGCGCGCGCACGCTTTAGAAAGAATATTTTGTATAATAGGGTACATCTACGCGTGCATGCATACATGTGTTAGTACGAGTAGTTACATTATATATTATTCTATTATTCTTTTACAAGTTAATAATTATTAATGTAAACATGTGACTTGATATCTTCTTAATATTGTATACTTTATCACATTGATTTACAACAAGAAATTATTGAAGTTTAATAAAGTGAAAAGAAAGAATTATTTTCTATTGTGTAAAATCGTTCTTCTCTTGAAAAAATAACTTTATCTTGGATTTATTTTTGCATGAGAGAAAAATCTCTTACCTTCAAAACCTTCAGAAGACTTTTCTCTTTCTCAGAGAAACTGAACTACAAAATATTTTGCATAATTTCAAACTTCCAAGGTATCAAAATTATTGTGCAATGAATAAAGTAAGTTACGAAAATAATATATACTATATATATAGAGAATACAATATACTATCAATATTATATCTACTCTTAATTTATTTACATATTAGATTAAATATTTTTATCTTTTTCGGAAAAATTCCATTCAGTAGAACATTGAATTATCAATCAGAGCGATAATAATACTGGACTTACTGGAATGAAATGTCATATAAATGAGATTTTCTCATGGTTCTCCACTAGATGTGTCATTAGCCAAGTCTGCGATTTAATTACAAGTTCATTAATAGCACGCGCGCGCTTACGCCACAGATTGGCATCCGCTCAGCACTTTCTCACTTCTCATGTTCGCCTCGCTAACAAATATCGACGTGTTCCTTTCAGACTATACTTCTGTGGTAATGCGACACTCTGGCGACGTTGAAATTCGATTAAACGTCTGTCACTCCAACTTTTAATTAACGATCTATCCCGTTTTTTTTACGCCTTTTTCAATCTTCGATTTTAACAGTACTTCATCTGTAAAAATTGAAGTATCTCGTGTAGACACTTGGCAAAAGTGTCTGATGACTAAAAACATATTAATAGTTCCTAAATTTAAAACGAAATCGACGAAATCATATTCTTTAAATAATTCCAAGTAAATTTCATTATCAATTTACCTATATTCCCCTATATAATATATATCGAGAGTTGAGAAGTGGCAATTTAAAAAATAATCTTTTTCATTTTTTTAGCTAAATAAAGTTTACAAAGTAAATTAAATAGTTTACAAAATAATTGTCCAAAAGAATCTCTCATATATTGTAATTTGCGAGTCATTCTATACCTCCTTTTGAAAAAATTCATGATAACTGCGAAATAATATCTAAACAACATATAATATGTGAGAAACAGCTTCTGCGAGAGAAACAAAAAAAATCACATTAAATATTTGAAAAGATAATTTTAAAAGATAATGTGAGATAGGTAAATGTCCGAATTTGTTTACACAAATAAATTATAAATTAATATCAAATTAATTAGAATGAAAAAGAGTAGTAGAGCAGAGTTGGTGTCTTTAATTTGTCTCTAAACTTCAATTGAAAAACTTCTATTGAAAATATCAGATTTCTTTACAATTTTATCTCATCAATATTAAGTATAAGCAACATTGTAATTTTAGAGGCCAAAAAGTTTTCATGACTTTTACGAAAGAAATCATTTTTGTAGAGCAGAGTTGGTGTCTTTAATTTGTTTCTAAATTTAAATTGAAAAACTT